ATCTAAAAACCTAAATGAGGCTATAAAACAAGATCATAAAAATCATTCAATGAATCCTAAAGAAGTCAAAAAAACAAAATGGAAGACAAACCCAAGAATGTCCACAATTACATTAAATGTAAATGGTCTAAGCATTCCAATTAAAAGACAGAGGTACTGAGTCAGGTATGGTAGCTGTAATTACAGCACTTAGGAGGCTGAGGCAAGAGGATTGTGAGTTTGAGGCCACACTGGGTGACACAGCAAGATTCTGTCTCAAAAAGAAAAAAAAAACTCACAGAACTATTAAAAATATTTTTTAAAGATGACATGTTTCTATACCTAAGACCATAGAAACTCCACCAAAAAAACTATTAGAAATAATAAACTCTTTTGGCAAAGTAGCAGGATACAAAATTAATAGAAATCAGTAGCCTTCCTATAATGAACAGACTGAGAAAGAAATCAGGGAAACAATCCCATTTATAATAGCCTCAAAAAAAAGAAAAGAAAAGAAAAGTACTATGGAATGAATTTAACAAAGGAAACAAAAGACCTTTACAATAAAAACTATAAACCACTGAAGAAACAAACTAAAGAAGACCTCAGAAGATGGAAAGATCTCCAATACTCATGTATTGGTAGAATCAACACTGTGAAGATGGCCACACTACCAAAAGCAATTTATATGTTCAATGCAATCCCTATCAAAATCCCAATGGCATTCTTCACAGAAATAGAAAGATCAATCCTAAAATTATATGGAAACACAAAAGACCTAGAACAGCCAAAGCAATTCTGAGTAAAAAGTCCAATGCTGGAGGTATCACAATTCCTAACTTCAACTATACTACAGAGCCATAACAATAAAAACAGCATGGTATTGGCACAAAAACAGATATGAAGACCAACAGAACAGAACAGAAGACCCAGCTATAAAGCCATGCAGATACAGCCAACTGATCTTCAATAAAGGAGCCCAAAACACACAATGGAAAAAAGACAGCCTCTTCAACAAATGTTTCTGGGAAAACTGGATATCTGCATGCAGAAAACTGAAATTAGAATCCTATCTCTCACCCTGTATCAATATCAACTCAAAGTTGATCAAAGACCTTAACATAAGGCCTGAAACTTTGAAACAACTACAGGAAGCAGTAGGAAATACACTAGAAAATATAGGTATAGGGAGTGACTTCCTAAATAGAACTCAAAAGGCTTAGCATCTAAGAGAAAGAATGAGCAAATGGGACTACATTAAACTAAAAAGCTTCTGCACAGCAAAGGAAATAGTCTCTAGACTTAAGAGACTGCCCACAGAATGGGAGAAAATCTTTGCCAGCTCTTCATCTGGTAAGGGACTAATATACAAAATCTACAGGGAACTCAAAAAACTCAACTCCCAAAGAATCAATATCCCAATGAAGAAATGGGCATATAAACTAAACAGGGAATTCTCAAAGGAAGAGATACAAATGGCCAATGAATAACTAAGGAATATTCAACTTCCCTGACTAAAAAAGAGATGTAAATCAAAACTGCACTAAGATTTTATCTCACCCTGATTAGAATGACCATATTCAAGAAAAACAACAAATGCTGGTGAGGATGCAGTGAAACAGGAACTCTTATACACTGTTGGTGGGAATGCAAATTAGTACAACCATTATCTAAAGCTGTATGGAGATTCCTCAAAAAGCTAAAAACAGAACTGCCATACGATCCAGTGATACCACTCGTGGGCATCTATCCAAAGAATGTAAGTCAGGATATAACAGAGACACCTGTACACTGATGCTCATCGCAGAACTATCCACAATGGCCAAGCTATGGAAACAACTCAGAAGCCCTACAACTGATGAATGGATCAAGAAAACGTGGTATATACACACAATGGAGTTTTACTCAGCCACAAGGAATAATGACAATATGTGGTTTGATGGTAAATGGATGCAATTGGAGGACATCAGGTTAAGTGAAGTAAGCCAGGTTCAGAAACACAAAGGCCTCATGTTTTCTCTCATACGTGGAAGACAGAGCCAAAAGATAAACATATCCACTAAAACAAACATGACTATACACAAACTCATACATAGAACATGTCTGTAACAGTGGAACTACTCTGTGGAACTCGGGGAGGGGGGAGAGGAAAGGAGAAGGAGCATTAATAATATCATAAAACACAGTATCTGTGAAGGCAGAGGAAATAAGGATATATATTGAAAACTGTCAAAAATGGGGGGTTGGAGGTAAACGGGTAAGGGAGAGAAATGAAAGGGGTTGAATGGACCAAAGTAAAGTATACTCACGACAGGGATACACTGAAAAACTCCTTTGAACATGGACTTAGCTATTAATAACAAAGACAAGATTGTAAAATAGGTATTGGGGGGACACTAATGGGAAAGGAGGGTGAATGAAGGAGATTAAGGTGAGGGAATATAGTTGATGGACTTCATATACTTATACAAAATAGAACAAAGAAACTTCTTACAACAGTTTTAAGTGGGGCAGGGACGGAGTTGAGGGAGAGAAAACAGTAGGGGTGATCTAACCAATGTACAATATAAGCCTATATGGAATTGTCACAATGAATCCCCTGTACAACAAACATATCCTAATAAAAAAATTAATGGAAAAAAAGGAAGATTGTTAGGCCGAATATGCAGTTTAAAGAGATATACTTTAAATACTAAGAAATAGCTTTAAAGAAAAACAATAGGAAAAAAGATGGACCACATAAACATTAATCGCTAGAAACATAAGTACATATATTAATATCAAAGTCAACTTCAGGAGAAGGACTATTTCAGATTTTTAAATGTTTGTTTATTTTTTGGTGGTACTGGGATTTGAACTCAGGACTTCATGCTTGCTAGGCAGGTATCCATTGTTTGAGCCCAGATTTTTTAAAAAGGGAAATTTTGTAACTTTCCATTTTTACTATACTCAATTCATTACAAAATAACCACCCTCAATAAATATGCTCCAAACAACAGAACTTTAAAATACTTGACACAATCAGCAACAGAACTGAAGAAATAAACAGACAAATTCCCAGTAATAGACGGACACTTTAATGTCTTCTCTCAACAGCTAAGAATGAGCCATACAGGCACTACTGATAGAACACAATATCCAACAATGAGAAGACATACAATCTTAGCATATGGCATAAACTAAGATAAGAAGATACTGGAGCATACTTCATAAATAAAAAACCAACAGCAACATCTTATTTTCATATCCTCATCATGTAAACTTCATGTACAAAGCCAAAAAGTTGAAGGGGGAAAAAGGAATTCAAGATCAATTATGAAGACAAGTTCAATTTGAGTAATTTTCCCTCTTTATGTGGTTATCTAATAAAGTTTTCTGTATGACTATAAATAAATTACATCAGCAAAGTATGAAATTTATATGAAGTTTATATGGCTTAATCTCATTAAATGAAATATAATTCCAAGTAAATATTATTCTATAATGTAAAATTTGTTTCATGAGGAAGATACATTTTTGGTGGTACTAGGGTTTGAACTCAGGGTCTCACATTTTGCTAGGCAGGTGCTCTACCACTTGAATCATTCTGCCAGCCTAAGGGATATACTTTTTTTAAAAAAAATTATTAGTTAATGTGTAATCACTCAAATTAAGAAAGAACATGGGCAGAAAATCCTCATAAGAAAAATAGGAAAAAATATTTAAACAGTATTTAGCTCCAGAGTTTATTATGCAGGTTCTTTCATTTCTGTGTTTAAACCACATCTTGAACATCTTTGTGTCTTCTTCCTTAGGTTACATGGGTGTCTGCAGTGCATGTAGGGAGAGGCAGCACATGCTGAGTAGTGCTAGAAGTCTACTGAACCCTGGACTCTAAGAATGTACTACTACCAAAAGAATACTGTCTTTTTAATCTATGTTCATATCACCATTTTAAGATTATGTAAATGTTTACTTTCTGAAATAGTAGACCAACATTGTTAATAACTGATGTTTGAAATAATGGTACTCAGGCAAATAATGGTCTTCAGACAGCCTTTACCCAGCATCCTACTTTCTCCCTCCTATCATAGTCACAGTGTGCTATCATCAAAGCCCTCCAATCAGACCATAAAGCTTCTGTCTAAAATGCAAGACCATAAAGTTCCTTAGGATGAACAAGGTCTAACCTAAGATGTAAACTACATGCATTACAATTCACTGGTGTGTAATATGAAGTGCTCTTCTATGCTCTTAACTGTTGGAGACCATGTGATGTAATGAATATCAGAAGTTCATGAACTTGTGGCCAGATTACTTAGAAGACTGAGTATCTGGTTATGGGATGTGATACTGCAGACAATGTCCTCCCAGCATTGTTCTAAGAACCATGAATTCCTTGCACGCATGATTGTTTCAGCATTCAACAGTGTTACATGCTGTTTTTCAGAGCACAGAAATTTAAAAATATATCCTGTTTTGCCCGGAAGTTAACTATTAAACCACATGTGCTTCGTGATCAATAGCTATACACAGCAACTCAATAAATACGGAGGGAGTTGAGCACTCGGAGTCTGAGTCCTTTCTCAGAACCCCAGCCTTCCCCCTTCCTTCCAAATTTCAACTTGAAATTTCTTTTTAATGCGCACACCATCCCTCTTCTCTCTAGGTCCATGGCACTTAACTCCAAACTATTCCTAACAGTGAGTTAAGAGGCCCTAGTTAACTTTATACCTGGTGTTGAAAGTCTTCTCATTTTTACTGCTCTGGACATTGATGGTTCTCTCCTACTCTTTTTGCTAAGTAGGCAATGGGAACAGACTCTGATCAACTGCTTGCTAATTAAGATGTAGATCTCTTGTGGCATTAACCCTTAATTTTTTGCAGATGTGAGTGGCATTCTTAACTGTAGATTTTACAGAAAAACAAAACCTGCTTAATTGTCTGCTTGACCTGAAAGAAAGCACTCTACTTCATCTGGAAGTTTCCCAGAATTCAACTCCAAGCAGAACTACTGCTATAAAAGACCAAGCAGCTCTCACCTTTACAGTCTCCCAGTAGGAGTGAGTACACCCGCTGTCGGACAGGACGGTAGATGAAGGCCTGGCTGGGCAGGGCTTGGTCCAGCTCATCCTCCAGGGTATTGCTGCACTCAATCTCCCTGCCGCTCATGATGTTGTACACCAGGTAGCTTTCTGCATGGACGTGATGAGTCCTAGCAACCTGAAACTCAAATAGGTTTCTTGAAAACACACAGTGAAACAAAACCTGCTTCAAACAGAAAGTTGACAGTGTTCATCATAGGCCAGTTTTGCTAAAGCACTTACAAATGAGTAACTGCCATTCAAACTCTTGACACTGAGTGGCATTTGTGCTTTCTTTCCTTTGGACTACCAGGTTCAAATCCATTTATATTACCTTTCCTCCTCCTGCCTCCAACTGTCTACCAATCATCATATTTCTGTAGTATCTCATTTCCTCATCTACTCAAGACCTCCTAAGTGACTCTCACAAGAGTCACTGCAAAAGACTCCTAACTGGGCCCTCTTTCCAACCCATCCTTCACATCACTGCCATGTTGTCTTCTTAGAAAAAGGTTCCCTACTTCCCTCCTCAGGACATCTGAATAACAAAGTCTTCATCATACTTTTGGCCCCACTATGACACCTCAGTGTCCTTTGTCTCCTTTTATGCCATTTTGTCCTCATAGAAATTATCGGTCTCCAGGCTCAGAACATCTTCGTCATTTCTCACCAACAGTCCTCTCTCACCTTTCCTGTGCCTCAAGAGCAAAAATCCCACCTGGAACATTTCCTGCAACTGCTTCCCAACCCCCACTTCACAGGCTTCTAAACAGATTCCTCCTCTCCAAATCAGAACCAACCACCCTTTGCTTACGCATTTTAATCTTTATCATATCTAACCTCTCCTTAACCTCCTTAAAGGTGAGGTTCGAGGAAGGACCAGGAAAATTAAGTGCTGGCAGAATAAGTTTTAACATTCTTCAAAGCACCCAAAAGTTCCAGCAAACTATCAAAAAATACTAGACATGAGAATAAGCAATAAGTGGGCCCCTTATATAGGAAGTCAATAAACAGAGGCAGACATAAAAGGGATTCAGACAAAAAAAAATCCTTGATGAAATAAAGCTCTTCTTTCAAACATGACAGAAAATTCAAACCCACACATCCAAGAAGCTCAAGAGACCCACAGGGAGACAGGGAACTTACAGAGCTTTAGAATGCAAAGCTCTTCTTCATCAAACTGCTGAAAACCAATCAATGATAAGGAGAAAAAAAATCCTACAGACAGCTGAGGGAAAAAGGCATATGACATACAGGGACAACAGTAAGAAGAATCATTGTCACCATGAGAAACATGCCAGCCAGAAAATATAATGACACCTTTAAACTGCTGAACAACAAAAAAAATGCCTAAAATTCCATATCCAGCAAAACACTACCTCAAAGATAAAGATGCAATAACGACATTTTTAGGGGAAAGAAACTTCTTTGGAGCCTTCTCCTTGTACCTTACAATTCCTACAGCTATTTCCCATCATATTCATGTGACAGTATCAAAAGTAGGTTACAATGTGCTTTTACATACAGGGTCATCCTTACTAACTAGACTCAGAGGTGCCTATCTGTGTTTCCCTGCAGTCCCTTAGCAGGTGGTCAATAAATATTCACTAACACATTCACCAGTGGATATATTTTTATCATGGCTTCTTAGACTGAGGGAGGCACATCTACCTACCTTTAAGATTCTGGGGTCTGAGACCACAGTTACTTGTTGCTTTATTTCAGGCTCCATATCCATGGGGTCTTCTTGATTAATTTCAGGGTGTGTACACATGGGTGCTTCTAGATTAAATTCACGGTCAGTTCCTACAGGTAATTTTTGCTTGACTTCAGGGTCTGTGCATACGGGAAGTTCTTGCTTGGATTCAGGATCTGTGCACATGGGAACTTCTTCCTTGGTTTCAGGATCTGCATATATGGGGATCTCTTGCTTGCAGTCAGGATCTGAATTCATGGATATTACCTGCTTGTCCATTATTACACTTTGGGGTTTCTGGAAAAGCCATGGAGATTTCTGTCCTGGCAAAAGATATGATGCTATTCCTTTGTAAAAAAGAGCTTTGTTTGGTCCCAAAGGTAACATCTCTTCTAGTTTTTTCTCACCTTGATACAAATGAAGAACTTTGGATATATGTTCTGATATAGCTAAAATAACATTGCCTTTTCTATCAAAGTTATCTTTCACAGAAGTGTAGGAAGACAAACACTTGTACCGAAAGCTTTCAAACATGCCCTCTGGAATGACGTCATTGCCAAGCAGGCAGGACAACAGAGGAAGGTCTGCCACTTGGAGACCCAGACTTTCACAGAGCTTCTCTCGACAGAGCATGATGGTGTCAAGACTTTCCAGGCACAGCTCACTAATTGAAAAGTAGGGGCAAGTGTCATAAATTAAATAATCAGTGTCTTCCCCAAGAATCCCCAGACAGTTGTGCTGGAGACCATAGGATGCTACCTCATAGTCTGCCTCCTGTAAGCTACACAAGGTTTCCTGGCCCAGTGCCTTCAGAGCAAACCGAGTAAATATGGCCAGCCCTGAGGGGATGAAGAACATGTTTCTCCCTGGCTGCTCCCTGTGTGACTTGATATAGTGGAAAATCCTGGATATCTCCCTGTTGTTCTTAAGTCTTCGCTTTACCCACTCATCTCTTTTATCCTCCTCCACCATGCCATCAAAGAAAAATATCAACTTGATGCCAACAGTTGTAAAGGATTTAACAAAATCTCGCAGAGCAGAAAAGTATTCTCGCCATTGGCCACCGCAGATCCAAGATTCTGGAGTGTACCAGTAACGGAGACAGCACATGGCATCCACTACAATGGTAGGAGTACATCCAGGGTGCCTGCTTTGGTGGTGCTCTGCCAGTTCTCTGAGATTTACTTCCGTACATATATGTGGGCAGCTACTTCCCACAAACCCCTGCAAACCTCTCACACCCATAACTGAACTTTGGAAAGGATCTGCAAAGAAAAAATAAATCCATAATTAGTAACTACGGTATTATCACTAGACAGATGGCACTCTTCAAAGCAAACAAAATATTTAATATTCCAAAAAGCTCATGTCACTGAGCTAATATGACATGCTGGCTAGGAGCCTGAAGAGTTTTCAAATGAAACAGCAGCCACTTTACCTAAGCATATGTAATGACTGGAGCTGGACTTTCATAAGGACAATGTACACCACAGCAATCTTTAAAGATTTTCACTAAAACTATTATTCAAAGTATTTCTCAACCAAATTCAAAAACAGGTTAAGTTCTTAAACAGTAATGATCTTCCACTTAAGAACTTAGTAGAAGTTATATTTAAAAACTTAAAATATAAATTGAAACATGCAACATGGACAATTCTCAAAATACTTTTGTTAACTAAAAGAAGCCAGACAAAAACAGCACATACTATATGACTCAACTTATCTGTTTAACAATCATTAAAAGGGAAGAAATATAGCTAGAGGTGTGGATCAAGTCATAGAGCAAGTGTGAAGCACTAAGTTCAAACTCCAATACTGTCAAAAAAGGGAAGACATACAAAAGTTGGGTAGACAGACATAAATATCACACATTTTATGTTGAAATCTAGAAGTCTTACTCATGACATTACTAAACGATATGAATACATATGCCCCCCACCCCCCGCCAAATCACAAATGAACTATTATTGGTATAGAGTTTATCGTGGAAATGTAACCAAGGTATTTGAGTTACTAAAGTTGAAACTGGGATCCAAACATGATTATCTTAGCTATTAGAGGGTTCTGTTGGACCCCTATGGTCAGGAAGGTGACACTTTTTGTTTTTTTTGCAGTGCAGGAGATCACTTAATATTATCCTAGACAATAAATAAATAGGGAAAAGGCTTTGGAAAGGGTATACAAGAACACAAGGGCTGGTCGGAATGGACAGAAAACAACACTCGGATATTATAAACTCTAAACAATTGGTCCCATGCCTAGCTTTCAATTAAGAAGGCTTTGCATGCATAGTTTTGTTGAGGATGAACAAGTCAAAGATAAATCTGGAGTCTGACCAGTTTCTATGTTGTGTGAAAACCCCGCTTCTCTCCAGCTCTATGCTGGGTGCTGGGGTCCAACAGACTCCTACTAATGAGACCTAACTCAGTAACTATGTGCAGATTCTCTTCCAGAAAGCTCTTGGGCTCAGAGATAGTGGATAGACGGCTCATGACACAGAAACCAACACACAGGGAGGCAGAGCTGGGAGGGCACAAAACAAACTTGGCACTTTCCTTCCAGACAGACACACCCACACGTGCATGACAGCTTCTGCCATTTTAGCTGGCTGCCTTCCCTTTCCAATGAGTTTTTGTTTCAATCGTTTTCTATTAAAACTGCAAATGACAACAGTGAATTTCTCAAAATATTCTCTTTATTTTGCAGTAACTCAGTTTCAATCCTCTGCTTTGATTTTATTCAAATGTTTCCTTGTAGTAAAAAAAAACTGTGACTCTTACAGAGCAGGCACTAGTTCTTCCTGTCTTTCACATTGCCAAGTTCTCACATTTGGAATCACAAACTACCTCAGGAAGTGTAGCACAACAGTGTGCTCTATGGCATTTATGAAGAAAAGCCTGGGTAGAAAAGGACATTAGAAGATGCCTTTCAGTGTGTTTTGGGGTCTTCAACTGCTGACTGTTCAGAACATCCACTCAGTTCCATGCGGTGTGGGAAAAAAAAATGTCCAACAAAGAAAGCTATGAATACTGCTTTAGTTAATTATTTTTTGTGTGTGTTCCTTTATCGCTAAGAGCATGTATGGTGACTTTTCATTTTCTAAAGGTAGTTATTATAGGATGACTGAAAAATGTATGCATAAAATGAATTCTAGTTTTCACACCTAGATAATGGTTATTTAGAAAAAAAGCATAAGTTATAACTCATTAGGTAGACCTCTTAATTGCCAAAACAGAAGCTGAGGCACTCTGGGAATCACAACCAGTAAGGTGGGTCTCTCAGAGCAATGACATCGTTCTCTGTCACATCACAACAATCAGTACAATGTCTCACATATGAGGAGACCAATAAGTATTTGAAAGCATAAATGAATGAAGCCAGGAGCCAGAAGCTCAATCCTGTAATCCTAGCAACTCAGTAGGTAGAGATGAGGAGGGACTGTAGTTTGAAGTCAGCCCAGGCAAACAGTTCGCGAGACCCTTTATCAAAAATACCCATCACAAAAAAAAGGGTTTGGTGGAGTGGCTCAAGGTGTAGGGCCTGAGTTCAAGCCCTAGTACTGCAAAAAAAAAAAAAGAATAAACGAATGAACCCAAGGGCAGCTATATACAGAAAAATCAGGGATCCACAGTTTATAGACCCCAATTCTGGCCAAAGATAGAGTGCAAATTAGCAACACTGCCCTCCAGCAGCTTACCCCAGGGCTTGGGAAGCAAACATCAATTCAGGAAATTTTGGAAGTTGTTGTGCAGAGCTGTAGGCACACAGGGCAGTTGGAATATCCATACCCCTGGGTATGGCTCCACTCTCCTGACAGCCAGACCAGTCCCAACTACTGGGTTACCAGTGAATAGGGATTTGGGAAGGAGAAGGAGAAATCCAGAAGCTCATTTATTCTCGGTCTTTCAACTTACAAACACTGGTAGAAACCAACAACAGCACCCTTCTTCCGTTGATTCCTAAGGATGCCTTCAGGTATATTTCAAAGTCTTCAACTGCTAATAAGCCAATGCTTATCTAGGGAAGGTCTGGACCCAGAGACCATGGACTCAAGCAGAGCCCCCAGAAGCATGACCTGCAAACAAGCATTGCAGTACTCTGCCACACAACCAAATTCCTATATTCATTGGTAAATGCCAGTGGAGTGGAGTATTTTACCATGTTTCAGGTCCCTGCTAGGGCCATGGATATAGCAACAAACAGACCAAATCCCTGATTAGATGATGATCTTGAAAGGAGATGACAAGGGCTCAAAGCCGAGAGGTATATATACGAATGTCAAAATGTAACTGAGTAGACACTTTGTGTGCAGTTTATCCCAAAAGCTCCATGGCAGATGTGCCCACTAGTTTCACTGGCCCAAATCTGACACACTGTCAATGTTGTTTACCCTGTTCTGTCAAAGACAAACTCCAGCAAAGAAGGCAGGTGCACTTGTTAGGGAGGCAATAACTAACAGGAATACTAGGGACTTGAGCTCACCGGTCTCAATTGCTGGGCTTTCTTTCACTAGGCCTCACCCCTCACCTGACCTCGATGCACTTAAGGGTGACCTGGTTACTACATGCCAGGTGGGCCCAGCCCTCCTTCCCATAGGTTATTTCCATTCACTCACAAGGGCCCTAACAGGATGGTCAAGACAGTAGTGTTTGGCTTTTCCCAGAAACCCAGAACTCTGTGCCTTTGGCCTTTCCTTACCCCACTGCAGGTCTACAAAAACTCCTAGAGGCTGAGGTATGAAAACCACTGTCACTGAACACAGAAAAGAGAAAATGTGTGTACACCTATACACATTTATAATGCCTCACTTATCTGGAATTCAGGGCATAAATTAAAAGGTCCACAAAGTTAAAACAACACATTCATGAGAAACTCCTTCAGGCTCTTTTACCACTTATGGACTATTTTTCTACTCAGTTCTAACAATTAGCTCCTGAAGCCAGACTAGAGAAGAGTATAGGGAAAGGGCAATTTCAAGCAGGTATGCTACCAGCTGACACAGGGAAACCAAAGGACAGACAAACTAAAAGCAGAAAGACATTAAAAACTCCAAAGGAGTAACAGGGGCATCAGCTGCACATGCATCAACAAACCTAAGAACATACTGTTTCCACCTCAACAAAAATTATGTTAAACATGTTCACCTGAGATCATTAAGGAATGTTTATATCACATTCACCACATTCAACTTAAAAACAGAGAAAGAATGTATTTTAGAAAAATTACCATCATAACTGGGATACCTTGGTGCTTAATCAGCAAAAACCTAAACTGTCTTGAAAACTCTATTCAAGAAGGTACTTTCCTCTTGCCCAAGTTGGCCGTGGTCTTATTGTAAATGACACTGTAACAATTGACAGGAATCTGTACTGAGTTAAGTCTTTGAGCTTCTAACACTACCCATTTTACCAGAACCCAGTAGACATATATAGATATGTGCAAACAGATATGTGGAAGGGTATAATTTTGGTCCACTTTATATTAAATGTTCTATAATAAGAGCTGACTTAGTCAGGCGTGGTAGTACACACCTGTAACCACAGCTACTCAAGAGATGGATTGGAGACCAGTTTGGGCAAAGATAGGGGTAAGACCTTGTCTTAAAAACAAAAGGCCCGGAAGCATAACTCAACTGGTAGAACACTTGCTTGCATGTGCAATCCTTTACCAAAAAAAAAAAAAAAAAAAAAGCTGACTTAAGTGTCTTCTTAAGAAGATGTGTATGTTTGTAAGGAAAATGATGCTCAGGTACCGCTCTTTTTGGTTAACAAGGGCACTGATTTACTGTAGGAAGGCAAACTATTTAACCTCTTTGCACATCACTGATTTCTTTATTTATAGAAATAAGATAATTATTTACCTCTGAAATTGGGTGAACTTCAAACTGTTACTTTAAAAATCCTTTAGCAGTTCCTTACATTTAACTTTAAATGGCATGTTTCAAATCCCTGAAGATATTTCCAACAGAACATCTTACAAAAATATAGAAAGCAAAATGAAGTACTTTTACTTGTTATTTAAGCTCTATAAAAATAACAGATAGCATTAGTGTTGCCTCATTTTTAAAGTAATAAAAGGTTGCAATAAATTGCTCTGAATCAATCTGTAGTGTAGAACTCTAGCTTCCATGGAGCTAAGAATTGCTTTTATGATCTCAGCTACATGGAGTATCCTTACCATCCTTTCCACCCAGGTGGAGGCAACTCAGCAATCAAATGAATGTAATAATATCTGCGCTTGAATTTGCAACATTAGAGTTACAAGTTCTGCCCAATGTGTTATCTCCTGACCATCTGCCTATGTTCAAATACACCTAGAAGGTGGAGGAGTAGAAAGTGGGGACTGGTGGGGAAGGTCAAGACAAGACTGCAAATCTCAAGGCAGCAAGCAAGATATGACTAAAATTGTACAGGGCCTGAAATACACAATTTGGGGTCTTTCTTTTTAAAAAGGATACAAATTATAAACAAAAGGTCACTGAATTCCCAGTGCCTTGGAGGGGTGTGGGTGGCAAGCCAGGTATCTCAAATCTTGAATTTATTAGCTTCTGGTAAATTTATTCCATAAACGATACCCAGATTCCAGTTCAAGATGGGGTAGAATATTAAAATGCTCTAAATGGCAAGAGACCTCAGATGTTACCTGTCGTCTTCTGGGTGTGCCAAACGTATTCAAGAATATCACTATGTTTGGAAGATTAGGTGGGTAGAAATTTTAAAAACTACAGATATGATGGTCAAAATGAACAGAGAGGGACTTGAGGTTGTGTTGCTGGTGCTTTCCAAAAGACACTAAGAAAAGGGCACCTACAGCTCCCACACTAAAGGAAAGGCAAGGTCTGGGAAAACCCGCTAGCAGTGGATTGGAGAGGGGAGAAATGGGATGAGAAAACCGTAACAGGGAATGCATGAAGAACGAACTTGAGCTGGACGCCAGTGGGTTCATGCCTACAATCCTAGCTACTTGGGAGGCTGTGATTGATAGGATCACGGCTAGCATGGGCAAATAGTTTGCAAGGTGCCATCTCAAAAATAACCAGAGCAAAATGGACTGGAGGTGTGGCTCAAGTAGTAGAGCGCTTGCTAGGCAAGTTCGAAGCCCTGAATTCAAACCGCACTACGGCAAAAAAAAAAAACCTCTAAAATGGGATCTTGGCAGGGAGGGAGGCTAACAGCAAGACCCAAAGACGGGAATATCAGAGAGCAAATGTAGAGGAAGAGTCCAAAACAAGAAGATCCTACACACCAGAAGCACTGCCCACGCGCGCCACTGGGACGCTGCCTCGCTCCTTTGCCCAGCAGTGTCCTGATAGCCCGCTCAGGGATGCCGACGCGTCCCGATTCCCGCCATCCGGTCCCTGGGAGCCGCTCGGTGCAGGCAGGGCGCCGCCTCGCCTCGCCCCCCTCCGGGTTCGCGCACCCCGGCGGCCGGGGAGAGTTGGGGGTGCCTGGCAGGGCCCGGAAAGGCGCGGCCTCGAGGAATGACTGACCTGACCCGGCGAGGCTGGGAGCTGACGCACCTCGGGGGAGCGCCGGGGTTTGCGCCGCGCCGGGCGTTGACACACTGCAGTAGGCGGCCGGCTCGACACCACACCGGACCCGGCGGCGAGCGCAGACGACCTGTGTGTGGCCAAGGCGGAGACCCAGATGCCGGCACTATCTACAGAAGCGCAGCACCAGTTGCAGACGTCGGGATCCGCCCTCACCTCCACCACCTCCGCCCTCACCTCCACCACCTCCGCGGCGCGCACTTCCGCTTTCGCTCAAGACGCTTCCGCCCCAGGGCCCACCCAGTCCGCGGAGGAGGGGCAGGGCGGAGCCTGTGGGTCGGGACCGCCGAGACACCAGCGGAGCGGGACTCGAGGACAGCTGCACGCAGGCGCAGGGCGCGGAGAACGATGTGCGCAGGCGCCAGGGCGGGGGCTTCGGGAGTAGCCGGGCATGAGGTATGTGGAACGCAGGCGCCAGGGGACGTGACGCGTCGGCCGGTTGCCCTAGCAACCGCGTCGCGGCCCCAGGGGCGGGTTCAGGATTACGTAGTTTCCGCCCTGGTTGGGGATCCTGAGGCAGCGCGGCTCTAGCGTACGTTGGTCTTACTTAGACCTAGGCCTAGGCCTCAAGCCGTGATCTCCCTGCCTCCGCGGCGCATGCAGACAGGCCGAGGGGATGCGGTCTGCAAGGCCTTTCCACCCCGCAGGCGGCTGCCCTCGTTCACGCAAAGCCGGGGAGGCAGTGAGGACGCCGGCCAGCCTGGAACCTCCGCGCGGATAACGGTACGGGGGCTGCCTCGGAGCTCAGTCATTGCGCGGGGTAGTGACTGGTCCTCATCCTCCACTGCTCGCCGGTCCGCAGAGGACCAGGGTTCGGGGCACAGGGTGGCGCTTTGGAAGAGGGAGTAGCCACAGGAACACCGTGGGTGTCTGGTCACCGCATCGTGTGGCGGGTTTGGGCCCGGTAGGTAAGACCAAGCCCGACCGTGCAGCGGGGACCACGCTCACTCAGGCCAGCCCTGTCCCAGTGGTGCAGTATTAGGATGGAAATCGCAAATAGGCAAAATTTAGCTCCCCTTGTGTCAGCACCTCTGAGCTTGGGGTGTCAGGAATCCAACCTTATTGTTAATTGCTTTGGGCTTTCAATGCCAGTGGGCCAGCACTTAGCAGCTAATGTTACAGCTCTGAGCTTAGGGTGCCAAGACCCTCAGCTCTTAGTGTTGCGACTGTGGGATGCCGCTCAGCAGCGGAGGCTAGTGACTCTTAAGTGGCTTTCTGGAACTCTTCCAACAATTCTGGCTTGTGACTCTTTACAATTCTCAGTTCTATGTAGTCTCTCACTTCTGCCCGCCCTTGCCTTCTCAGGGCTTCTGCAGTGCTTCATAGCCTCAGCTCTGCGCAGTCTCTGTGCTTGGCTGCCCTCTAGCTACTGCTGGATGTGCCTGGGGGTAGCAGTCTAGCAAATCACCTCTTTTTGCAACCTGCTCAGCACAGTACCTATGATAAGACTAAAGTAGGCAATAAAACCATTCGGTCAAGGCTTTATTTGGGCCTATGCTGCAGCACAGGGGCAAGTGAAGAGGGGAAGTGTCCCGGTCTGCAGTGTCTGTAGTGGGATCATCTAAGGGTCATCTGAAGCTGTCATTGTCAAAGCAGAGCCTCCCAAGGCAAAATTTTAGTTGGGGTTGTGGCCATGACAGTCTCTTTGGGGGCATCTCCCCATGGCAACCAAGAGGGTTTTAAGACAGGTGAATTGTCCTGTTGACAGCTCCAGGAACCTCCAAGGGAGCTGCTGCTTGATTGATAGTTCTCAGGCCTTGCAGAAAATGCTAGGGCAGAAATTGCAATTGTAGCCTCTGGTATGGTTCTTCAGGAATAGCAGCAATATCGTTCACAGTCTTGGGAACCATGGAGATGATAGTAGTGGCCCCTGATCCAGCTTTCATCTCTCCAGGTCCTAGGGTAGTTGCTCAGTTTTGCTCTCAGGCAACTGCTGCCATAGTCTGATGCAGGAAAAGGGTTTGACAGATATTGATCAAGTAGTCAAACTGCCTACAACTGTTTGCTTCCATCATTTAAAAGGAAATGCATTAAGGGGTACTTAGAACATGCATTCAATAATTTTCTCAGTGAACTTGTTCTAATAATGGTTAACCTCTAGCCAAATGACCTTAAGGAAGGTTGGGTCCTTTTGATCTGCCTCAGTAAGGCCACATGGACTCAGAACACCCCAGGCCCAGTGCCTGTGCAGAAGATCACTTCAGGTCCTGGATTACACAATTCCATACCTTCCTCTACTTTCCATTCTACCCACTTCTCAACAATCAGGAGAGCATTTGTGTAACCACATGTAAACAAAGAGTAATATTTGGACCAATGTAATTTTTTTCATTGTAAACTATTGACAAGCTTCAGTTATTAATGTGCCAAACTGCTTAAGATGCATCCCAAACCTATCTATACACACATTGTATAGACGGGTTCCTGGTGAACAGCCACAATTGTCCCTATGACTCCAAGGGAGTGGCTGCTTGATCAACGGCTCCTGATCAGAGAAGCAAAGTGGCAAAAGTATTAGTGATTTCCTTCAGAATCTCTAGCACAGCACTTGATGGAGCACCCAAAATATATTACCAAGTTGAAGTGACACCATAGATACATTAAGGAGTTTGTGAAGGAATCTTCCATTCAGTATACAAGGCTTTCATTCCCTACTAATTTTTCCTTCTAAGTAAAATCAACGTACAGTGCCCAAACAGTACTAGTTGAGGGTAGAGGGATTTCATCACAAATATGTGCAATGTCTTCTATATTAAGGAATGCACATTGTGGTTGGGGACACAAACTATCACACTAAGTATTAAGAAATAAGTGAAACATACAGTAAGGATTATGATGTTTGTGTCCCCACAAAATTCACATGCTGAAATCTAGTTTCTACCATGATGGTATCTGGATGTGGGGTCATTGAGAGGTGATTGAGTCATGAGGATGGAGCCTTGGGGAATGAAATCAGTTCCCCTATGTGACAGGCCAGAGAGCCCTATTGTTCATTTTCCACCATTTGGTATATAAGGATAAGAGTGGCATCCTGATCTCAAGACTCTAGCCCAGAACTGTGAGAAATACATGTCTGTTATTTATAAATCACCCTGTCTGTGGTACTTTGTTATAGCAGCCTGAGGACAAAGATAGGAATGACAAAGATAGAAAGGAGGCAGTGAAGCTGAGACAGGATTAAGAGAAAGGACTTTCAGGCCGAAGGTACAAACCTAGGAGGTGGAGGTAAGAACTCAGGTGTTAAGACAGAGCAACAAAGGAGACTAAACTCAGAAGCAGTACTTTCACACAAAGGAGCAATAGGAATCAGGGCTGGACCTTTTAGGCAGGCCAGCCAAAGCCTTTGTCTATGACACTCTTCATGGACTACAGAGCTTCTTCCAAGTAGACCACATTTCTCTCACTCACTCTTAAATAGGCACAGATAACCAAGAATCAACAGATATTTGAGGAAGGCAGACAAAGGAGGCAAATACAGATACTAGAAAGAAGAAAAAATACAAGGAGGAAAAAAGTTGTAGAAAACTTTACTATCCTCAGTCTCAGAAGATAAAATTACATTCATGAAAGAGAAAAGATAAAAGGACCATTCAGAGAATAAGAAAGAACTCTTGAGAAACAATAAATTCATAGAAGATAAATGTGATGACATCTCTCAAATGATAAGAGAAAATGAAAAAGAGATGGAGAAAGAGAAAGCACAAGACAGAAGATTAAACCAAGTGGTCTGACATCTGAAAAGTAGGAATTACAGGAAAAAATAGAGAAAAATGAAAAGAAGGAAATTACTCAAATAATTCAAGGAAACTTCCCAGAGCTAAGAAGACTTGTTCTCAAGTTAAAGGGTCACCAGGTGCCTAGCACAGAACAGCTAAAAGGAACCACATAAGGCACACCTTCACAAAGTTTCAAGACACCAGGGATAAACACATGGGTTTTGAGAATTGGAAATCAGAATGGCATGGAAACTCTCCACAGGATCCCAGGAAGTTGAGTATCAACTTCAAAATTCTGAAGAAAGTAATGCTGACATGGAATTGGGCTCAGTCAAAATCTTAGTTAAGTTGTAGATAGGATAAAGATGTTTAGATGCACAAGCTCAAAAATGTTCTCTACCTTATCTCAGAATACTACCAAAGGATATTCTTCAAAATTAAGAAATGAGTTCAAGAAGAATATTTAGGATCTTGGAAGTGGGGCCCAATAGAAGATGGAGGGAGTCCCAGGACAAAAACTGTAAAGTTTTTTTTTTTTTTTCCTGTAATGCAGTTTGAACTTAGTGTCTTATGCTTGCTAGGCAGGTACTCTATCTTAAGGCATCCCTCACTTCCCCCCCATTTCTTTTTTGCTTTAGTAATTTTTATGAAGGCTAGTTTGGACCAAACCTACTTATGTCTCCTACTTAAGCCTCCTACTTATGAAGCTAGGATGACAGGTATGAACCACCACAGTCAGATTTTTTTGTTGAGATAGGGTCTTGCGGACTTTTTGCCAGGGCTGGCCTTTAACCTGATCTTCCTGATCTCCACTTCTGGAGTAGCTGAGTTTACAGATGTGAGTCACCATGCCCAGCCCAAAGCTGGAAACTCTTGTAGCTTGGAGGATCCGGGCGTCCAGAAGAAATAGTTCCAGAAAAGGGTAAAGCCCTCAAAACACCTGATCTGTTAGACTATTGTTAGGGGATCTTCAAAGTTTGGTAATAAGTAATAAATACATACAAAAATCAATAAGCAAATAAACCAGGCAATTACTGAATCCAGTAAAGACAAAACAATGTTCAAAAAGGACACATAACTACACCCTATGCCTCAACTGTGAATAACTGTTACATGAATAATAAGGTAAATGCTGAATGGTAATCTAATAAAAAAGGAAAGTGACTCTGTGTACTTACAGATACACATGTCCAGGAAATGAGCATGGGAGATCCAGAGTCAGAAGTCTAGAGACTACGCAGCTGGAAATAAAGGCAGCATCAGGAACACCTCTTTAAAATATGAAAATAAATTCTGCAAGAAGTAGCTAAGAGATCAGTGTGAAGGTATGGGGAATAGGAAGGTGTGATGTGGGCGAAGGCTATTTACATTACAAACCTAGAAATACTGCTTGAACTTCTAATTATATTACTTTGATAAAAGGAAAATATTAAAAAGTGTTTAAATAACTAGTACAAGTGGTAGTAAGTAGCCCAGCTAAAATTCTAAAGCTTTTACAACTTGTTATAGTGCACATAGAGAAGGGAAGGACAGTCAAAGACTGTCTCCCTACCTCCAAGTTCAAGGTGGCATAAAAATGACCTACCAAGAGACCCTGGCCTTTCTTCTTCCCTACCCTCACCTGGTAGAATGGTTACTCCCCTTCCCTCAATAAAGCTATTCTACCTCACTCCATCCATGTGTTCTGCTTGGATTCTTCCATTTGGAGCACAAGAACCAAGATTTTCTGAGAACAGTGAGTGCCAATAACAATATCACACAGACTTCTTTCCCTTGGTTATTCTACACCCAATGTATCAGTCTGGAAGAGAATCTAAAAATGGAATGTAATGACACAAAAGAGAAAAATAAAAAAGGAAAGAAAGAGGAAGAACATGGTGAAAACCTGTAGGTCAAAGCTGGGGCCTAAGGGAGAGCAAATGAAGAGAAAGAGAATAGATAAACAGAAAACGTGTGTGTGTGTGTGTGTGTGTAGGCAAGTGTCTCTGGTAACAAGTTGGTCCTTTTAGTAGACTGCAAGATTTATTTGCTACTAAATAAAAATTGTGACTTATTTAGATGTTGAATTGAATTTCTTTGCAGCAACGTGGGCCCAAGATTTGGGTAACAGTTTATCTGAAAATGGAAAAGAAGAAAAGCCACAACCATAAAACCCATAGTTGGCACACATTACATGTTACTACAGCGTGTTGCAGCTGATAAAAGGTGATCTAGAAAGAAAATGTCCCTCTTCTTCTGACAGTCACTATGTGTGAGATTCCTGAACTGCTGCAGACTGCCTACTTTCAGGATGGAGCTCACCAGCATGCAGAGCAGATGGAGGCCTGTGGGCCAGGTGATGTGGTGGAGCCACCAAATCACCCACACTCACACCCCCTCTCTCCTGACCCGATTAGGTACCACCTCTCTTTGTAGTTAAGTACGGAACCAGGCTTCTCTATTACTTACAGCCAAAAGTATCCTGTCTTTCAGCTTCCACCGATGATGGAATAATTCCTTCAGAATTTGTTCTCTCACTTTAAATAATTAAATAATTAAATAAAACGTAACAAAATATGAAATTACTGTTTTCAGACAATAGACCTATGAAGTAAAGAATGGTGATTCTTGAAAGGAGGAAAACAAATGAGGTGAGTGAGACTAATGACTGTCCTAATTTCTGCCCTAAATCTGCAGAGAAAATCAGTGGGACAAAAGGTTGGTTCTTTGATGACATTCATAAAACAGACCTGTGGTTGCACTGATCATAAGAAGAGAGGAGACACAGATGACTCATATTAACAATGGAAGACCCTATCACTATGAATACCTACAGATTCGGCAAAAACAGAAAAGAGTATTTGAACAACTTCTGATGACTAAGGAATCCTTGATCCATGCAAATTGCCAGAACTGACACCCCCACAAAAAAACAGAAAATCTGAGTAAACCTGTATTTGTTAAATTTAAACTGTAAGTAAAATCCTTCCCACCAAGAAAATGGCAGGCACTGATGGCCTCAATCGTGAATTGTGTCATGCTTTTAAGGAAGCTTGTTGATTTTGTACAAACCCTTTCAGGAAGTAAAAGTGTAAAAAGCCTTCTGCAACTCATTTTATAATTTGCAATGGCGGCAGAGAGCAGATCCAATTTCATGTTGAACCCCAAGCCTTGTGATCAGTAATAGAATGAACAGTCTTCTACTTCCTGCCATGACTGACCCTACCCCTTGCTTTAAGTCATTTGTGGTTTTCCATTGGCCTTGACAGTGGTTGATTCCTTAGTGGCCATGGAACTCCATCTAGCCTTTGGGAAATGAGAGACTACCTGCTGGCAGGTGTTGGACTGGCCCTTGATAACACAATAAGAGCTGGGGACCTTTATAACTGGAAAACAGAGACCTGTCTCACCTCAATTAGCTTATTAATAGGAACAGGAACAATTCCAACCACCACTGAAACAGAACATAGTTTGTGATTATTCTCCAGAGTCTAGACTCATCACTATATTCCTGCTGGCTAGCAGTGGTCCCATGTGCACATCCTGAAGTCCCTGGGTACCCATGAGTCATTGGTGATGGTGAGCAATGGACATGCCAACTCCTCCACATTCCTAAAATAAAAGAGAAAATACTACTTTGAAAACAAATACTGCTAATGGTCCAGTACTGTCCTCACTCTGTGTTGCCTAAGAGAAGTGGTAGAGAGGAGAAAGAATTAAAAAGACAAGGAAGGAAACTTGAAGTATGAAATGCAATGATAGGAAGTATGTTTTACATTTTGAAATTAGGAAATGTGTTTACTTGAAGGTAAAAAGTGTCTAAATCTGTCCCTCCCTTTTACTGTAGGACTGTTTATTGGGGTCCCTTTCTCCCCAGCCTGTTTACTGGAGTAGGGCTTTGCTTGTCTCCTAGCAGCCAAATGCAGAGGCCATTCATATGACAATGGGCTGGACAGAAAGCAAAGAAAGAGTTTGGCTTGTTTAAACTGCCTCTGTCTTCATTCACAGCCTGATGTCCATGTGCATTGTGATAGCCACAATGGCGCTAAAGGACTCATTGTGGCCGAAAACAAATCAAAATAGAATAAGGGATGCTAAGATAAAAGAGCCCTGCAACAAAATTGCTTTAAAAAAAAATCAGTCTTACTCGGAGATTTATGTTACCTTTTGGCTGCCTGGTCTGTTGACCAGTATTTATAATAACCACTAGAGTTTAATAAACAAAAAGATAAATGGGAACTCTACGGACATTTTTAAAGGGGCTCACACAGAAAGGGTAAGTGTGCTGAGTTGCTTTGGAAGTTGTTTAATAATTATTGTTCTTTGTTTGCACAACATTTGGGGAGCCACACTCCATACTTGGCATTTATTTTCCCTCTGATAAACAAGCCCTGGCCATGTCCATGTGGCCCTCAGCTCCCCACATGGAGCCCCCCTTCATTTACTCACCCCCTGCCGGAAACAACATTAGATGTTGCAGTGACCCAGCCCAATTCAGCAGGCAACAGGTGGAAAGTTGAATAACTTCACACGTTTTTCAGGAGAGGGGGGGTGGGCTGGAGAGAAGGCTTTTGGGAGCCGATTTAAGGATTAGATCAGATGTTATTGCTAGTGAAAAATTAAACAGCCCGGTGCTCTGGGGAGTACAGATTAATATATTTAGTGACTCTCTGCACACAAAGGCCGCTCATTGTGCCACGTCTGAATGCCTGTGAATAGGACAGAGCATATGCGGCCTGTCACTGCAGGTGCCCACATCTGTTCTCCCCGGCAGATGCTCACAGAAAAGGGAGGTGGGGGAGGCCAGGGTAGGACAGCGCATTGAAAGCTTCCAGGTCGCCTTGTCCAGGGTTCCTTCGGAGTGGCCTTGGGTGACGCAGGGTCCAACCCGGACACTCCTGGGGGAGGCCTAAGAGACTATGAAGCACACTTGGGCAGTCAGCTGAGGGAGCGGCTGGGGTCTCATTAGGCCTACAGGTGCGCTACGTTTTTGAGGTTATTGTTTTAGAGCCTCTGTGAGCTTGGCCTTGAAGCCCCTCACCTGGTGCCCTGGTCCCTGAGAGCAGGGCGCAAGGTGGGTGATTGACGGACACTGGGGGTGGCGAGTGGTGCCCATGACCACACCAGGATGGTGGCGCATCCTGGCACCAAGAAGGGACCGGCTCATACCCTCAGCAGGGCTTCTGCACCTTTTTCCTTTCCTTGCATCCTCTCTTTCACTGTCACTGGCTGCAATTTCAAGGTGCGAAGCCTCCACTCTGTGAGTAGTGAAGGGGGCTCCGCAGGCCACACAGATGTCGAGGCCGAGGCCCTGGCTAGAGAACCCCACCCTTGTGGATACCCCAACACTCCTGGGGTGCTGCCCAGGTGTCTGCGACGGTGCCGCCCCAGAAGCGTGGGGTTTGCTCTGGAACGCACAGAAAGCGCCCTGGCTGCCTAGACCCCCGGCCCCGAGGTCTCGGCGGTTCGCATTCATCACTCCAATGACTGCGGCACAGCCTGCTGGTTCCCCGCTGCACAACTTTGACTCGAAGCTACCGGAGGCCTCTTGCTACCCCGCGCATTGCTCCCACGTCGCACCCTACTCCAATGGTCCAGTTTAACTACGCCTTCCCAACCCAGATTCGGCAACGGCGCCCGCCCGCCCCACCGCCTCCTCCAGGAAGCCCTTGGGGGCATCCGCTCCGGGTCGTGCTTCCCAAGCACCGACACGCACCATACCGAAAGCATCCTCTACCGGGCCACACAGGTCTCCACTCAACCCCGCCCCCCACCCTGAGGTGGGCCCGGCACTGCGGACCGCACTAAGTGGCCGTGCGCGCCTCGCGCGAGCGGGCTTGGAGCAGCTGCGGGGGTAATCTGATCTTGGGACAAAGGCGCGTCCGCCGGTGCCGGGCCGCAGGTAAACACGCGCTTTGTCATGGAGATGAGCGCGGGACAGCCCGGAGCAGATGACCCGCGGTTCCGAGGGGAAGAAGCGGCGCGGGGGGGGGGGCGGGGCGGGGTTTGGCGGGCGGGGGGCGATCAGTCATCTGCGCTCGGGGCCGCCAGCTGAGCCACGCGACTCACGCTTTCTCATGCAAATCAGCACATGCCTTTGCAACTTTGTGCGGACCTGCAGCCTCCCCTTCCAACCACGCACCAGAGGTGGGTGTCCCGGCGCGCGCAGCGCGGCTCTACGTCCCAAATCCCCCCTCCCCACCGCCCCACCTCCGGCAAAACCAACCAGGTGGATTGGCGCACTCCCTCCTCGACACAGCTGCCTGTCCCAGCTGACATGCCATGACCCTGCTGCATAGGGCAGGCAGGACTCCAACTCTCTTGGGGGTCGGAGCGTCTGTGGGACCACTGCCCTCTGACAGAGAGCAGGAGAACCTCGGGCTGCCTGCTCACCTGGCATCTGCGGGTCAGCAGGAGCAGGGTCTCCTGTCCAAATGGAAGCCAAAAAGCATCCTTTTAGTTGTGGGTGAACCCATACCCCAGGTTAGAATGTAAAGGTCCAGACATACCTGGAACCAAGAGTGAACGTGTCTGTACACACATTTAAGTGTGTGTGTACAAAGACCAGGAGCAGCCATGACAACCACACCTGACAGGTGAGCAGAAGCTGCTGGCTCTCTCTCACAGCAGGCAGGGGGTCCTCTACTATTTAAACTGCTCTCCATTCCAAAACTGGCTGAGGAGAGTGGGCAAAGGGGGTGTGTGCTGAGCGAGATGTGATACTAATACTAATAAACTGGCTTCCCGTCCCCTTTTTTTTCTTTTTCTCCTTTTCAAGCAAGCTGGCATGTTTGATCAACACCAGAATTGGGGCTGCAAGTTTTTTATTTTGTTGTTACAAGGACCCTAATTCTTCTTAGAAATGAGAGAACCTCTCTGTTGGGTATACAGTTTAGTTGGTTTGAAAAAACACAAACCCCACTCAAGTCTCCAGACTTGTTTACACTGAAAACTGAACCTGGGCTGGCTTGGAGTCTGAAGCCTGCTTTGGGTGTTGTGATTGCAGTCTGCCCAGGCCCCAGTGTCCATCCACAGCAACCATCACACACATACCTTGCGAATCGAGTTGTTCTTGGGCCACGGGGGCTGGAACAGGTTTGGGTGAGCAGTGTTAGATCACATACTGCCCAAGATGGGCATCTCATTTGATAAGATGATACTTTAGTTCCCATGTGGTCTAATAAAGTGGAGGAAATAACCAGGGTCTCCCAAACACAGAGCTCCAGATGTGCATATTGTGGCCATGGTTCTGATTATTATGCAATTTGAGCCTACCCTAGCCACTGACATTATTTAGAGTATGGGTTGTGTATGGTTAGAAAAAATCACCACCACCACCAGGCAGCAAATTCCTCCTTCCACTCCTGTATCTAAACCCTAATGAGCCTCACTTTGTACAGTAAATTTGCTGGGACATCAAAAAGTATTTAAAAAAAAGTTTTCTGCTTTCTTCTAATGGGGAAGGTGAGGATTTATGGTGCGTGGGGAGGGGGAACCTGTCTACTAGGCCCAACATTCAGGCAAGTCTATTTAATATACTCTGGCTTAAACTCCCTCCTGTATTTGGGGGGTTCCAGTGCTTAGCTGTGGGAGTATAGAGACATGCAGTTAGGGAGTGAAAAAACGCCATTTGGTTCGGAGCAGATGGCTGGCTAGGGGGCTGATGGCGTCTAAAGGCGTGTCATCCCCCTCCAGCTCGAATCCCTAAGGACTCCCCTTGTCTTCCCAATCAATGAAAATTAAAGTGCAAAGAAAGGATGAATAGTTGGACCTCGAGTCTCTCCTTTGTTCATCCCAGCTACTGGTGTGCAGGAGTTAAACTACAACAGGCTCCTATAGAAACGCTGAAGTTAAACAGTCTCCCCGTTAGCTCAGCTTTTGAAAGAGAGGAGAAGAGGAACCAACTTGGGGGTGAGGGACAGAAAATGGGGAGGGGCAAATGGGAGGTGGAGAAAGAGGAGGAGGAATAAGAGGAGGAGGAGGAAGGAAGAAGGAGGAGAAAGAAAGAAAGAAGAGAGCAAGAAAGAAAATGGAGAAGAGCAGGAGGATGAGGGAAAAGAAAGGGGCTTTCTGCTTGATTTCCCCAATACAGAATCGTGTGGCATAAATTAAGTTGGAAAAGAATGAACGCTTTGGGCAGGATTCTGATGGATTTTATGATGCCTTTCAGTTCCGCTTTGCCGCTGTAATCGAGAAATCTGTGCCATGTCAATTTAACAAATACTTGATACTAAGGGGGGGAGTTGTTAAAGATTTGGGGCAAGTCTCATTTCCCCAGAGGTTTAAGCCCTTGCGCGTGGAACTTTTTATTTCCAGTTTTCTAAACAGGCATTCAAATGAGCATGTTTTCCACTTCCATCTCCTAATTAAAAGGTTCCTGATATTTCATTTCTTCTTGAAATGTGTACACAATCTTGCAGGCTTCGGGGAGTCTGCATTCTGACCTCACATTCCTTTCCTCCCTTGCATCTCCCCTGCTCAGGGAACCCTCTCACCCCCCACCCACCCCCAGGGAACAGCTTCCCAGCCACCAGGAGCAGAGTTCTCAGAAAGCAGCTTTTGGAGACAGCATCAACCTAGTGAAAGAAAGAAGCTGACACTAGGTGGCAAGATTAAATTAGGATTCAAGCTAGCCCAGCCCTGTGGTGACATAGCAGGTTCCTACAGAGTTTGCAAAGGACAAGGACTCTGGGTTTGCAACTGCCTTGGGGGCAGCAATATCTCTTGAAGCCTCCATTTGTTCTATACCAAACAGTAGGGTACTTAGTGGGGCCCAAGCCTGCTTTTCTCACCTCAGCTTTGAACACTGTGCACATGGCTTTGGTTAACTCTTTGGTTGCCCATGAGGCAGCAATGAAAACCTGAAGTGCAAATCCCTGTTGATCCTGAAACTTTACAGGCATCTGGGAAACAAGGTAGGAGGAGACAGGCTGGGTCAACTGAAAAGGAGTCATGGAGTTGTGAATCCAGTTGCCAGATGGCTAGAGGGCCTGACACAGATGCTGCTGCTAAGTGAATTACTTAGATTCCTGTTGCTAGTGTTTTCTGGGTGTTTGAGGCTTTCCTCCTTTCTGTGCATTCTATATATGGTGATTGAGAAAGTATATGACAGCAACAGTCTGCCAAGATAGTGCACTCTCTCAACAGTAAGAGCTGTAACACCTACGGTGAGGACACTGACCAGGGGCATTCTGGGAGCTGCGCTACAATCAAAGGGACACACTCTAGCACTCACGCCTTGCATTCTAATGAAGCTGCCTAGGTGGTGATGGGGGTGAGGGTAGGAAGGAATAGCCAGGGTGGGGAGACAGCAATCAGTGCATGCCCAGCACAAAGCTAGGTGCCAAGTAGGAGTCTACACTTGGAACTTCTCCCTGGTGCCTGTAAACAGAACAGTTCAGGTAATTCATTGTGATATGTGTGTTCTCAGCCCCCCAATAAACTTCATTTCCCTTTAAAAATGAAAACAAAAGTTCTAGTGTCTGATGGATGTGTAAAAACCTAATAACTTGACGGTTGTGTAAAGGTTGTGGGATGGGGGGCCGGACTGGAGGGGTCTTTGGAACATGTGCCGGACATTGTCGCAGAGGCCGCGGCGCGCGCGGAGGGGAGCTCTTTCTCTCGGCATTGTGCAGGGAGCAGGTGCTGTCTGCATTACCATACAGCTGAGCGCACAAAGAGCCACTGATTCAGCCTAGCACAATAACAGACTGCCTTAATGACAGCCACGCGAACGACACACACCAAACTCACTTTTTACTAAGCAGAGGGAGGCCTGGGGGGAATACCCAGGAGAGAGGGGTCCGAGACACAGGAAAGGTGGTAGCGGCCGAAAATCGCTCGGGAGTGGGTGGGTGTGTATTGGAGAGGGGTAGGTTAAAGCTTTAGGTTCTCCCGGCTCTGGGGACGCACTGCCCGGACTCCGACTCTCATCCTCAGTGGTCGAGGACAAGGCGGGGACTCCCAGGGCACAGGGACGCCAGGTTCCCCGGCCCCGCACGCCGGATCTGCGCTCCCGTAGGCGCAATCGCCATCCTAGACCAGGAGGTGTATCCGTGTCCATCCTCTTCAAACTTCCCGAAACTGCCGCCGCGTCCACGGAACCCTTTGCCCACCGCTCTGCCCGCCCTTTTCCTACCGGCCCCCGCCCCCGCCCCGAGACTCCTCCTTAGGAAGCGCCTTCCCCGAAGGAGGAGCGGCCGCCCGGGACTCGGGCCTCTAACCTCGCCCCCGCGCCCTCCGGAGCCCCCTGGACGCGGCCGGCGCTAGATCAGGCGGCGGACACAGCCTTCTGGAGCGCCCGGAGGCCGCGGCCGGCAAGCTTGTCGGGAGGTTGACCGCGGGCAGGAGGCGAAGGCCGCCCCCGTGCGCCGCCAAGGGTCTGCGGGCCTGCGGCCCCGGGTGCGGAGGGGGACGCGGCGGAGGCACCAGCTCCAGGAGCTGAGGAGATTCTTGCCGCGAACATTTTGCAGGAATGTAAATGAGTGCATTTTGTGCTGTGAGGGAGGAAGGCAGAGGGGGGCTGGGGGCGGGGGCAGGGAGGACTCTGGGGGCGGGGAGGGGTGGGGGCGGGGAGGAGGGTTGCACATTTTACAGCTCACTGACCATTTGGCGATCCATTGAGAGGAGGGTTTGGAAAAGTGGTTCCTTTGTGACAGCTCTCGCCAGATTGGGGGGCTGTTCATTTGCATCTCATTAGCCATGCGGGCGGCCGGCGGGATATAAGGGCAGCAGGCGCCGGCCGGAGCCAGTCCTCGGCGCGCACTCGCGGAGACCCGGCCCGGCCGAAGCAGGTCACGGGAGAAGACGGGCACCGCGCGGAGCCTCCCACGCCCGGGCCTCCAGTCCTGTGTGCGTTTATTCGGATGGCGTTGGCTGGATTGGTTGGGAAGAGCCGAGTCTTTGCGGTGCCTCAGGAGATACAGGTCCAGAGCGCTCCCAGAGCGGCGGCCGCCGCCGAGTGACACCCAGCCGCGAACCAGGGCGCGCGCCGCACGCCCGCCGTCACCGCCGCGGACTGTCCCTCCTCGGGGCCCCGGATTATCGCCTCGCCCGTGGGATTTCGAGACCGTCGCTTTCTAATCGGCTTCGGGAGGAAGCCGCTGCAGCTCTCTTGGGAATTAAACTGAATATCTGGACGCTTCCTCCTCTTCCTCTCTTTCTTTCTCAATTTCTATCCCTCTCTCCCTCTCTCCCTCTCTCCTCTCTCTCTCTCTCTCGCTCTCTCTCTGTCACATCTCTACCGCTCGCTCTCTCGCGGGGTAAGACAAAACCAGGAAGCAGGCGACCCTCACCTACCCGTGGATTGGAAGAAAGGAGGAAACCGAAAGTTGCCCTCCAGCCGCGGTCTTCAGGGCGAGTCCTTTCTCTCGCGCATCTCAGCGCCGCCGGCAGCCATCGAGGGGCGGATCTAAAGAACCGCAGCCTGCGAGAGCGGGAGACCACTCCTGAAGCCAGGACCCCCAAGTGTTCCACCTACAGCAAAGCGGGGTGCCTTCCTGCCCGCGCTCCATAGGGCACATTGACCCTCTTGGCATCCCCTGGTCTTTGAAGAAGAGAGAAGCGGTGCAAAAAGGAAACTCAAGGAGGGCGAGCGCGTCCAGCGGTACCATGGGCCGTCGGAGTGCGCTAGCCCTCGCCGTCCTCTCGGCTCTCCTGTGCCAGGTAGGGAGCCGCGCGGGGCCGCAGCGTGGTGGAGGGAGGGGAGCCCGACTAGCCGTGCAGCTGTCCCTCCGAAAGTGACTCCGGGAGTTACGACCGCGGGCCTGGCTGGCTCCGGGCCGGATGCTGCGGTGTGCTCGGCCTCCGAGTCCTCGCGAGGGCTGGCGCGCCCCGGGCCCCTCCGCAGCCGGCGCGTGCTCACGCTCCTTCCCTGCGCAGGTCTGGAGCTCTGGTGTGTTTGAGCTGAAGCTGCAGGAATTCGTCAACAAGAAGGGGCTATTAGGCAACCGCAACTGCTGCCGCGGGGGCGCGGGCCCGCCGTGCGCCTGCAGGACCTTCTTCCGCGTGTGCCTCAAGCACTACCAGGCCAGCGTGTCCCCGGAGCCGCCCTGCACCTACGGCAGCGCAGTCACGCCGGTGCTGGGCGTCGACTCCTTCAGCCTGCCGGACGGCTCGGGCGCCGACCCTGCCTTCAGCAACCCCATCCGCTTCCCCTTCGGCTTCACCTGGCCAGTGAGTGCGCATCTGGGCGCACAGGGCTGGGCTTGGAGGGAGGGGCTGGGCGCTGGAGGGGTTGGAGACTCTGGCAGCGGCAGGTGGGCCTCTCTTGCGTCCTGGACTCCTTGCTGGGAACTGCCCAGCAGACACTGGAGGGTGACACTGAGCTGGGTGAGGAGGAAGGCTGGGCATTGGATTAGTGGTCCAACGCCGGACATTTCGCATGGACCTCTGTATGTATGTCTGGTGTTGAATGAGCCCTGTAACGTGGGAGCCCCTGCTTCTAATCTCGCTGGTTGTGTCATTACCCAACTACCCAAGGAGCGACAGTCCCTACCCTCACAGTCCCATCCCAGAAGACTAATGACAGCTGCCCTCCAGGCCTATTCCACTACCCCACCCCGCCTGCTCCATAACGCTCCCTTAAAAAAAAAAAAGCATAATATCCTGTACTAACAGGCTGAGAAAACACGTCAGGAAACCACTCTTTTTAAAAGTTCTTCCATTTCCTTAAGGAAAGCGAGTGTGGTGACACCCTCCTCTCACCATTCCAGCACAAATCTGGGCCCCCAAACCTCTGTTCCTGACCTAGGGATCCCCAAAGCCTTGGGCTTTCTTGTTTTTATTTTTTACATTTCTGGTTTATAGCATGCCCCCTCTCCCTTTCTCTCAGGGCACCTTCTCTCTGATCATTGAAGCCCTCCACACAGATTCTCCTGATGACCTTGCAACAGGTAAAAACAAACTCCAAACACCAAATTGTGCAAACTGCTTCTACTTGATACATGTTTGACTTTACTTGCCCCCTCCCTCAAGAACTCAATGTCTTTAATTCTAAATATCCCCCATGAGTGCAGAGTAGAGGGTCCTTGGCCTCCTTCTCATGCTGACACCATCCCATCACCCTGACCACATTCTGCCACCCCTCAGTCCCCAGCCTCTGGGTTCTTGGTCAAAACCAACCAGAGCATCTTCTCCAGAAAACCCTGAAAGGCTCATTAGCCGCCTGGCCACACAGCGGCACCTGACAGTGGGAGAGGAGTGGTCCCAGGACCTGCACAGCAGTGGCCGAACAGACCTCAAGTACTCCTACCGATTTGTGTGTGATGAGCACTACTACGGGGAAGGCTGCTCCGTGTTCTGCCGGCCCCGGGATGATGCCTTTGGCCACTTCACCTGTGGGGAGAGAGGGGAGAAGGTGTGCAACCCCGGCTGGAAAGGCCAGTACTGCACAGAACGTGAGTCCTTGTGGTGGCCACCTTTTCTGTGGGTGTACTTATGGGAGGCTATTCCTGAGCCTCCAGGGTCACAAGGTTGATTACAATAGGGGACAGTAGAGGTGTTATGGTGGGGGAACAGGCCCAGAGAGCAGAAGCTCCTTGCTAAGGTTTAATAGCCAACAAGGTCGGGGTCAGCTGTGTGTTTTAACATCCAGGAGTGTTTATCCACTATAGGAAGCTGCCTTTCTTCATCAGGGAGGAGTTCAGAGATAGGGCCAGGGGTCAGGAAGTAAGACTGCACTCCCCCTCAGGGCGTGTGCATTAGAAAGGGAGGGGAGGAAGGAAGGGAGGAACAGGGAGGGAGTGTGGGGACATGCTTTCCACTGAAGTTCTTGCTGTGTCAATGTCTCATTGAGAAGAGCTTCCTTTTCTCGCCAGAGTTGGGGTGTCAGACTTGCCCCCAGATTCCCTGTGAGGCATACTGTGTACACTGTCTTAAGAGAGGTCTTTACTCTTGTAGACTGTGGACAGCTGGAGAGTGTATGTTGAGGCTGGCCTACAAGGCTGCATGGGTGAGGGTCACACGTGCCCTATCTTGTTTGAATACTCAGCACCCTGCCTGCAAAGAAATGTAGCTGCTGACATCCACAATGCTCCTGCAGGCAGAGGGACCAGTGCCACTAGGGGTGGGGATGTTCATGTTGACTTAAGTGTGCTTCTCTCTAGCTGTCTGAGGCCTCACCTGCAGACTGGCGCCCCAGCCTGTTGGCAGGGCATTTCCCTATAGTCAGGGGTTCTGAACTTCCATTCTCCTGGCCTCAGCAGGCGAACTTTGGACTCTGTGAGGCCCAGAACCTCTGACAGGGACAGGGTAGGGGATAGGGGTGCAGTTTCTTAGCTTTATTTGTGCTGGGGCCGTGGGGGTCTTCACATTTGCAGGAGCCTGGATGTTGTTGTTGCCTAGCTTCCCATCTCCATAAGGACACTAAGCTCCTTTGAAGCCCTGCCTTGGACTGAGCTGTTGTGTTTTCTTAGGAACTGGAGGTGCTGCTCGTAAATGACTTTCATAACTGAGGAAGTGAGCACCATCCCCACACCCTTGGGCACCTCTGGTGTCCTAGGCTGCCTCCCACCCTCGCTCTCTTGGTCAATAGTTTTGAGGTAGACAGAAACCTAAACTTTTTTCTTCTTTCAAACATGGGAGTCTCTCCCTACCCCCGCTCACACGTGCCATACATTAGATCTCTGGGATAGGCAGCAGGGACACTGTTTGCTCCCATTGGCAGAAGAATGTGTGCACATGCATGTGCGCATACACACACACACTTGCTAGGGTGGCTGGGGGGGGCACGGGTGGGGGTGGCATTGTTGCGCTGGGGCAGCTGCGGGAGGGAAGAGACAATGGAGCAGCTGTCCTGCCCTGCACCCTGCACACCAGCTGTCCACTCTTATCTGCACACACACTTTCTGGGATATTAAGAGGTGGAGCTTTGTGCATAGAATTGGGAAGTGGGGGAGGAGGAGGGGGAAGACTTCTGACCC